GACTTTATGGAGTTTTGATCTTATTGGGTTTTTCGGTAAGAACAGAAGAGAAATCACCTTTGGATGAAAGAACACGGTTCTTGTGGTGTCCACTGTTGAGAATCTCTACATTGAACTGTCTTGGGATTGTGTCGACCGTTGGGATCTTGTAAGTCCATGTACTGTCTGTTACCACGAGACCGTCTGAGTTCATTAGGTACTCTTCAAGCATGAAGAACCCAAGTCCTTGAACAAATGCTCCTTCAATCTGTAAAGTAAAACCATGAAACAGAACAATAAACATCACAAATCCAGAACCAGGCACACATAGAGTAGTTTCCCGGGTTTAACCTGTCCTAAATCCACTGCTGGATTGAGACTTTTCCCGCAATCATAGATAATATCCGTGCGCAGAACCGTTGTTTCACCCGTCAAAACGTTTACTTCAACCTGTTGATTACAACAAAAGAAGTGAATTTATTTCACAAAATGTTAAAATTTTAGCTAAGAAGAGCTATCCTAAATGTTTGGAACTTTACCTCACTCGCTGCAACTCCATAGTTGATGTATTCACCAGTGGAGTCCGGCAAGTATGAGGTACTAACCGCCATGTTTATCGATTGCTGATAAGCCTGCACCAGACAGTTCATGAGTAAAACCATTCAAAATGACCAGAGCGCATCAAAAGCATGAATGTTTCAAGAGTAGTATGGACCTGACTGATGAGGCTATCCCAAGTCACAGGTCCTCCTGTTTGCTCCACCAAAGTGGTCTTGACGGGTAAAAGCCTTTCGACTAAGCCAACGCAGCAAATCCTAACCGCTTCGCTGCTCGCCTCAGAGGTTGTGCTACCACCAGTTACTGAGCCTTGTACCATACTCAGGGTGTCGGATTGGATGACTCGGATTTTCTCGAGAAGCTCATCGCTTGTAGTACCGCATTGGATCAGTCCAAGGGAAAATGCAGTCATCTGTTTCACCTTTGTCCATAGCCCTTGTCCTATCTCAATCCCTTGAACTTCAACCACTATTGACCCATCACTCAAAACGCTTACTCTTCCCGGTGTTGATCGCATAGACACTCCATAAACCGCAGGCACACGCGATATCCCTCTCTTTCTCCACTTGTTTGATGCATTAAACTCCTCAACCACCTTCCTCCGCTGGTTAAACTCTGAGAACTCAGCGAGTTTGTCCCAAATCAACGGTAAGGTGTACTCAGGGGATTCACCAGCTTTAACATTGTGAAACAACTTTAAGCTCTCATATGTATGGAGATTAACCTTCCTGATCTCATCCACATCAATTGAAAGATATGAAGCTACTTTTTCAATGATAGCTTCTCCTATATATGTTCCTTGTACATCCCCTGGAGCTCGAACCGCGGTTCTGCTCACAGTGTTTGTTTTGCATACTTTCACATCGAAAGATAGAGCACCCCAATCATACTTCATCAATGCTCCTTGGATACCGGATGGCATAAGCGGGCTTATATCGTCGCTTATCCCTGCTTCAAGTAACAACTCTAAATCTAAAGCAGTAATCTTTCCATTGGATTTGAATCCAACACTATATGTGATTTTCATCGGATGTCTTCCTCCGGTAGTTATCATATCCGTTTTCCGGTTCACATATATCCTCACGGGACGCTGCATTTTGGATGCTGCAAGTGCACAAGCTGCAGCTACCTAAAACATGTTGATAGAAAGAGTTAAAACAAACATCATATACTCAAGTACACTCGAGTATACTTTCGAAATGCGAACTCACAGGCATTGATTTCATGACTTTCCCACCGAATCCACCTCCAACTCTTCTAGTGATGACACGGACATTATTCTCAGGAACTCCAAGACATCCAGCTATGGTTCGATGTACATACTCGGGGACTTGAGTCGAGCTATAAACCACCATACAGTTGTCTTCATCCGGCACTGCAAGAGCGGTTTGTGTCTCCATATAGAAGAAGTACTGTGACCCCAAACTTATCTACATATAAAACACAGCCACAAAGATGAGTATGATGATTAGACAAGAGCAAGGCTTGAAAGACATATATATCTTTGAAAGGAACCACCTTTGATCCAAGAATCTTATATTCAGCTTCAGCCATTCCCTTGGCGATATCTCCGACGGATTTACCACGCAGAGGTGGAGGGAGCTCCAAAAAGCTAGACTTTTCGACAGCGTCTTCTAAGGACAGTATCGGCGATTCTAAATCCTTGGTGTCATAATCAATCACAACAAGATTTGCTGCAATATCTGCATGCTTTTGACTATCTGCAACCTGCATACAAAGCATATAAAATCTAAGTTTATAATTCTACATAAAAGTTTCAGAGAACAATTCTTCACCAAACTCACCAAAATGGCGATTATCTGACCCGCGCAAAGCGTGATTTCTTCTGCGAACAAAAGATCCGAGCGAAAGAAACCTTTGCTACCGACATTTTTCCCGCCTTCCGGAATATCTTTGTAAGTAATTATGCCAAGAACTCCTTCTGGAACTCTGTTTTGCTTGAATCTTATACCCTTGATCCGCGCCAACGGCATTGTACTGTAAATAAATGCGCCGTATAGACAATTTTCCGGAGCAGGAATGTCGTCTACATAAACAGCCTCACCTGCAAATTTTATCAAAACGTTAACAGAGAACCAGCAAATGATCAAAAGAGTATAATATAGAACTCACCAGATGCTTGAAGTCGAGCTCCAGCCTTTACAATGCCTTTACCGACCGGACTATATTCTTGATTTTCAACTATTTGTTGTGCAGATGACAACATAGCTTCAGGTTTCAAAGATTCAACATTCTGATCAAAACCATTCTCTTTGCATCCTCCGTTGAGCCAACCGTTTGTTTGAGTTAAAGATTCGAAGAACTCGAAGAGAAACGTAACAGCCAAGCTTGATCTATAACCGGGATTCGAAGTACCCTTATCAGGTACTATCTCATCTTTAAGTAAGCCAATAGCTTCAATCAAAACCTCATCAGATATCACTTTCCCTGTAAGAAATTCTTCGACTTTCGTGGCTCGATGCGCGTGTTTTGTCCCGTAAGCCCCGAAAGCTAACCGGCAGTCATGTAAAACAATGCCATTGAGTTCTTCACTTAAAGAAACTTCAGCTGAGAAAGCCGCATTCAGAAATGGCAATGCATTTCCGAAAGGACGAGGCGCTGCTCTGTAAGTTTCAAAGAGCAAATGAGTATCCGAAGAAGAACCGTTCTTCTTCTTCACGGGGAGCCAAGACGGGATCTCGATGCTCAAAAGAACAGATTTGGTTTCAAGAGGAGGTTGTTGAAGAAACTCTTCCAATGTAAAATGTTCTTGACCCGAGCTGCTAGTCATGATCCTAACCGTTGCTCGAGCAGCGAGAAGTATAGTTGTGAGATCAGAAGGAAACTGTTTTCTCTGCGCCATCATGATGTTTCCGCCTATCGTTCCCGTATTCCGCACGAATCTGTTTGCAATTTTCTCCATATGACTCACGATTTTCGCCAACATAGAACCATTTTCCTTCTCTCTTAGAACCTCGATAGCTTTTGATATAGTAACAGCAGCTCCTAGTTCAACTCCCTTCTCATCTTTTCTTACCACAGTGAGCTCGGGAATGCGCCTTATATCGACAAATCTTTCGTACTTCCTCTCTTTTTCTTCTTTGTAATACCCGGTACTCGTGTTACCCGCAACTAACTTAACTGACATCCCATTTTCAACCTCTAATAAGCCTTGAAGCTCCGAGATGCTAACAGGGCTTGACCATCTGTACTTTCTTGGATCAAGACTCATATCGATCTTGATTTCCTTCTTCAAGAATTCTGGAAATGTACAGACTTGAGATGATGTATGATCATAACATGGCAACCTTCCTAAAACCTCATCTCTGTTGTCTCCCTTCTTGCAAAAGGAATTGAATCCGAGGTCTTCGATATCCACATCCGAAGCAAAACTCTTACAAGCGTCCACGAGCGGTCTGTATCCAGTACACCGGCATAAATTCCCAGCCACAGCTTTCTCTGCTTCCGCAGCAGTAAGGTTTGAGCAACCACTGCGAGGCGGATGAGACTTATCAGCGTTCAAGAGAGCGGAAAACATCGAAACGCTCATTCCAGGCGTGCAGAAACCGCATTGTGTGGCGTGAAAGCCAGCGATCCGCTCGTGAACCGCGTGGAACCCGACTCTGCTGTTCCCAAGACCTTCTGAGGTAGTGATGGAGCAGCCGTCAATGCTACAGAGGAGCGTGAGACAAGAGCTGATAGTGAAGTCATCGACTTTTTCGAGCAAAGGATCATACTTGGAAAGAAGAACAACACAAGCGCCACAACCACCTGCGTCCAGAGAAGATACGTTATTAAACAAAAAAAATTAAACGCAAAGAGAACCACAAATTATAGGGAAGTCTTATAAATCTTCAATATAACAAAAACATGTTGAATTCATTTATCGATGAAACAATCCTTCCTTAATATTTAAATAAAGATCTCTTAGATGGAAAAAAACACACAGATAATTGATGCTTTGCAAGGATATTTTAAGAAAAAAACTGAATAATCTTCTAAAAATGCTATCTTTTGTGAATTTTTCTTACATACAACTCCAAGCG